CTAGGACAGCGGGCACAGGCGCTCCCCTCTCCAGGACGGCAGGGCAGAGGCAGCCCCTCTCCAGGATGGGGCCGCCCCCAGGCACTCTGGCCCTCCTGGCGCCCGGCTGTCTCACTCACTGTCTGCTGTGACGCCCGCCCGACACAGCGGGAGAAGGCGGACAGTGTCCCGCACTCTGGGCTGACAGAGCCCTGCCTCCCTACCTCCAGCCAGTCTCCCGAAGGCAGTGGAAGGGAGACCGACTTCAAGGTTCAGGCCACAAGCCTCTCATGTTCAAAGAAGCTCCTGGAAGCCCCGGCCAGGCTCCAAGGAGAGCAGACCTGTGCGTGGTGATGGGTGCTGTGACGCGGCCACGGGCCCGTCTCTCCAGCCCCTCCAGGGGGCAGAGCCCTGCTCAGCACCCTTTACTGTCCACTGAAGACCCGACAAGCAAAGGAACGCCTGAAGAGAATTGCAGATGGGGCACCTGGGCGCAGGTCCAGGGTGGGGTAGCGGGAGGCAGCCTTCTAGTCAAAACACTCTCCACGGTAAGATGCTGTGCTGATGAATAAGGAACTCACACGACTTCAACAACTGTGGCTTGAAATAAAGCTATTTCTACCAAAGATCAGAAACCCTGCTACAGTGAGTGTCACTCTGCGCCCTGGATGCCTCAATAGAGAAAAGATCAGGTGTAAACTAGCATAGGAAACTAAGTCTGCCAATACATACTCAAAGGAAAAAAATCACACATTTTAAAAATGAGACCAATTATAAATGGTTAGGGAAACAGCTCCTGGTAGAGTCTATCATGTGAGAACATATACACATGGTCATCCATGCTCATGTTCACATAGAACAATTAACCCACCCTCTTACCCGAGGCAGACAGCACTCTACTCCTCACAAAGACAACGCCACCGCTCCTGGGAGTCTGCGGTCACCTCAAGGACACCAGTGTTCTGAAGATTTCATTGCTGGAGGAAGCAGCACCATGACAGCCCGCCGAGGACCAGCTTCCTTTCACATGACTGAGTCCAGGCTCGAGGGGCTCGCCACACGCTCAGCCGCAAACTTCCACCCGGACCCTTGGCCCCAAGGCAGGCGGCGGAGGTGCGCTCCCAGTAGGCCCTGAACCATGCCTGTGCAGCCGCCCACTGACCAAGGAGCAGGAAGGAGCCGGCTTCAGGGCACACGCACTCCCAGCCGCAGAAGCCCTGCATCCCAGGCAGGGTTCGCCCAAATGCCCAGGCTCTTCTGGGGCTGAGGGAGCGTCTGAGTGGCACAGATGTGGGGGTACACTCTGTCCAGAAGGAGCCTGAGCAGAGACCCTGCAGACTCTGCTCCTGGGGGTGCCGGGGGCCCCCAACCCAGCCCTGCCCTGGGGGCCCAGACCCCCCACCTGTGTCCTGACCACTGGCTGGCGCTGCGGGCCGCCCACTCTGAGCGAGGACTCCTTCTTCAGAACCACACTTGTGCACTCTCCACGAGGCATGAATGCGCATGGGCCATGCCCTCTGAACTTCAGCTCTGTCTCCACCCAAGGCCTCGCTCCCCGGAACCTGGGGTGACACCACCGAAGACCAGGTTAGTCCACAAAACCTGTCCAGGTCATCACAGCTCAGGAACCCACTTCATTCGCCAGGGCTGTCCCACCTGGACACGGGCAGGTGCTCACTCAGCTTCACTGTAAAATGCTCTGTCCCCATCTGCACCATGAATCTTGATGCCTGCTTCTCCTACAAGGAATCTGAAAACCCGTGAGCAGTCGCTGTGCAGTGGGGAACCTGGCGCTCTGGTCCAAATGGACCTCAGGTCACAGAGGCGCACACCCGCCACTGCCGCAGCCGATCGGTGTGAGGGCCTCGCGCACATGTTACATGCCTGCAGGACCTTCAGGCGCCTCCTGCACACGGCCATGCCGGCCTGAACTTGGTGCCTCCCCCGCTGGGGGAACCCAAGCGTCATCAGGGCTCAAGCTCACCCTGCTGGCCTCTATCCACAGAACCGACTCCCTCTCCACTGCTACATGCACACCCTTGTAGACCAGACCCCCCCACACACCTGCCTCTGCTCTCTGGACCCGAAAAGCAACTGACTTCCACCTGCTCTTGACCTCTGGCCTTGCTCCACTGGCAAGAGAAAGGTGAGCGTCCCCAGCGTGCTGCCTCCCAAACCAGGGCATTTTCACGTCTCCGCTTAAGATGCTGCTTCAGAAGCAGGGGCCCAGGCGGTCCTCCCGGCGACCATCTGTGCTCTGTCCACAGGACTCTGTCCCAAGAGCCAATGCGGGGGTTTCCAAACCCTTGCCAATGAGCATCCAGGAGGTGAGCGAGCGTGGTGAATGTGGAAGGTCCCCAGGCCCTTCTGACTCTCAGAGCAGCTCTGGGTTTGTTTGGGGATGTGCAGCAGGTTTGTCTTTCAGTTTCCTTTGGCACAAGAAACCCTGGGATCTCCCTTCCACGTATTCAGCCAAAAGCTGTTGGCTGCTGCTGAGTTTTGCTTTGGTTTCTGCTTCTTGCCATCAACCCTGTTCAGACTCGAGGCCAGCTGATTCTTCCTCAGCCCTCACCACGGCCCACATACTGTGCTGGAGGTTTCCAAGCACACCATCTGCTGGCTCACAGCCTGAGGGGGACCTACCATCACCCAGACTTACAGGACAAGAACCGAAGGGACAAGGAAATGGTGAGTGCCTTGTGTTGAGGATTCAAATTCACACCCACGCTTTCTGACTCCAAGTTTTCCTCACCCCAAACTGAAGCCAACACAGAGGGTGTTACAGAATCTTAAGGAAGTAACAGGAGAGCGTGGGGCCCGCAGACAAGGCTGCCTGTCAGTCAGCTGACATGAACACCCAGGACCACGTGCACATCAGCCACACCCGACCTCAGGAAGCAAGGCCACCTCTCCTGTCTGTCCTTCCTCTCCAGCCCGGGCGGCTGCGGAGGAGATGGCAGGACGGCCAGCAGGTTCACCATCAGTCACTTGACAACCCACTAAAGCCAATAAACAGCCCCGACTGGACTCAGAACAGGAGGGTCTCACCTACCTCACGCGCTCAGGCCGAGGAGGGGTCCTTGAGGGGACAGTCACATTCGCTGAGCAACACACCCGCTCAAGGCTAAGCTCTCACACTCCATGGTGCCCTCCTGGGACCCCAGGCTTCCACGATCGTCTGTGAGCCCCACACGCCCCTTGGGAGACAAGGCTGTCACTGTGGGGAATGGCTCCTCGGAGGGCCCACAGCCACGGCCTCCAGGACTGGGGCCTGAGGGTGACGCCCTGTCTTCTGGGGAACTGGGGCTCGTCCTGGCCCGGCCCTGAGCTCCCAGACTGGCTCAGCGCACCTGCACTGCCCCCGCAGGTGGAGGGCTGGACGGTGGACCACAAGAGCGCACAGCCTGCCACAAAGAACAAAGGGGCGGGCTTCTGGATCAGAAGACCACCAAGGTGGGCTGGTCAGACCCCTGCACAGGAGCAATGGCCCGACATCACAGAGTGGCGGTCTCGCTGGGGAGTCTCTGCAGCTCAGAGGTCTCATGATTGCAGCCTGAGCTCCTTGATTATCTGGACTGTCACCGAAGAGAAGAGGGATTCCTAAAGACTCTCATATTCATACTGTTTGAGGAAACCCTACAGCCTCAGTGATATGTCAGGTGCTACCTTGAGCATTTTACAGGCAGAAACCCTTCAGCACTCACAGCCACATCAGGGAGCATCCCCCGTCCACTGAGGTTGCAGGAACAAAGCCCCGTGCAGGTCGGCTCACACATTACGCTCCCAGGCCTGGAGGCTAAAGCTGAGGTCAGGGCACCAACAAGGCACCCCTCGCGGAGGAAGGGCTGAGAACTCTGTGGGTTCTCTGTCAGGACACTGCTCCCATTATGGGGGACCCACCTCAGCTCCTGATCACCTCCCGAAGGCCCCCCTGACACCATCACCAGGGCACCAGGGTTCAAGGTGAATGTCGGAGTGACAGAGACATGCAGCCCACTGCAGGTGGGGAGATGATGCCCTACCCCCACTTTCAGATGGAAAGTCTGTGTCACGCAGCGGTTTAGGAGGCGGCCCAGGTCACACAGAGGACAGAGAGAACCCTGCGGTGGGGGCCGGTTGAGAGGCCCAGCCTTCCTTCCAGGCTGTGCTGCTTCTCTAGATGGAACGGGGTTCCGTTATAATCCTGGGGATGCTGTTGAGCACATGGGCCATGGGACACACAGGAGAAGCTGCCCCTGCTGGCTCTGGGACACGGGTCAGATGCCAAGCTAGTGTCCAGAGCAAAACCCACTCTGGTCTCTCTCCCGCGCAGAGCAGGAAAACCTTCGCCTGGACTAGTCCAGGACCTGCTCTCTGGGAAGTGTGAAACTCGTGCAAGGATGAGACGGAAAATTCCAGCAAAGTTGCTGCTTGAGAACACTTCTGCCCTCCCTCCTGCCCTGGCCTGAGTCTGCACCTCGGACTCCCTCCCCTGACCCAGCTCAGAGGTTTCCTGCAGGGGACACAGCCAGACCCAGCGGGCCTTCCACGGGACACCCTTGGGGGCTGGGCCATGTCTGTGAGCTGAGTGCACCTCTGCCCACAGACCTCCCACAGAGTGCGCGTCTGGTCACACCCCCCACCCCCCGCCCAGTGCAGGGGCTCCAAGCTCAGCACCCACCCTGTCCCTGGTGACCCTCTTGGGACTCCCCTGTAGTCCCCACACAACTAAGCCAAGCCCAGTGAGCTTGCAGCCCAGGATGTCCCCTGCTGTAAATACCCCAAGCGTTCATTTCAGACACATGCATGATCATGTCCTGACCTGAGCAGCACACAAGTCACATTTTATTAGGGAGGGAAATCCATTTTTGGGGCATTTAACTCTGCCTCTCGACACAGTAACTAGATTTGATTAATAGACTGTCTGCCCTGCTTCTGCTGTCTGCTAAGACTCTTCCCAGAAGAGAACATGTCTGAGACGTGCAAGGGAGCCTGCCTCTGGGAGGCCGAGCGGCCCACGCACCACGGAGCCCAGCGGTGGAATGAGTCTCATCTTCACGTCCCTCGAGGCAGCTCCTCGCTGGGCACCCCGGCCGGCCGAGATCCCCACGACCAGACGAAGTCCAGCTACCGCGACGTCGGCCTACCGCTCACGCGTCCCGCTCACCAAGCAGCTCTACCCACAGAACCGTCCTGCAGCTCTGCTCTTCTCTGAGCCCCACCAACAGCAGCGGGACAGGAGCTCTGCGGTGGGCAGCACCCTGAGGGCGCTGGGTGCCCGTCCCTGCCCCCTGCCCCCAGGCGGCGCCGCGGCGGGCGTGGGGCTGCAGCGACGCTACGGCCTCACGGCCCCAGCAGAGGCCAAGCGCAGCTGTCTCAGGCCCCTGACGCTTGGGGATGATCTGACTCCTTGGGGCATTTTCAGTTACGCCTCCTTCTCTGTCTAGAGAAAAACGTCCATTAATTCTGTCAAGAACGGGATGGCTGCCGCCCAGGCCCGCCCAGGATGCAGGGGCCATGAGGATGGCTCCCCTCCCAGGCAGCGGACTTGTCCCCGACAGCAGCAGGGCGCGCCCTGCAGCCCCGGTGCCAGCCACGTCCAGGCTTCAGCCGTTCTGCAGCTCATGGGCCCAGGCAGGCACCGTGCCCTGTGGGACACAGGGGACGCGGGGGGCCCTGCGCACGTCAGCCGCATGTGTTCTGACCTGAACGCCACTGGGCTCTGGGGACGGCCATGACCATTTGCCTTACCAAGGGGCCCCACAGTGAAGGCGGTCGGGCTCACGGGGCCCATCCTCCCCAGACCTGCGCTGGACGGAGCTCCTGGACCCTGGGGTGGAGCTGGGCCCCTGCCCCTAGGAAGGGCTCCTGGGAACAGAGTCACACAGGCTACGTTGGCTTGAGATGCCCCTCCCAAGGAAAGCATCCAAACACCTCCAGAGGGGACGAGACTCAACTCAGCCTGGACTCCAGGCCAGTTGCCCCCACTCCTCCCTGTGACTCCAGGCAGGGCGCCTGCCCCCTCAGCTGCCACACCCGTTTCCTCCCCTCGTGCCCCCAAGTCACCAGCTTGATTTGGGGGGAAGAATCTTCTTCCAGAGCGCACCCTACTGTCTGAGGCTGCCTCCCATGGCCCCGCTCTGTCATCCCATGTCCTACAGCAACACACCCCATCCCCACCCCCCGCGGGCAGAGGGCCTGTGTCTCTGTGAGTACCTCTGCTTTGTGAGTGACCGTGAGCCCCGGTCCACACACATGAGCTCTGCCCACACTCATCCCCTGTTGCCTCTGTGAACAAAGCTGGGGAGTGAGGACGGGGCAGGGAGGGGGCATGATGCTGGGCCAGAGCACCACGCCTCCCTGAGCCTCCCCGAGTGCCTCCTCTGGACGACCTGGAGAAGGTAGCCGCCGGGACCTGAACATTTCAGATACCAGATTACAACCATTTGCATTCAGCTCAGGAGAACGTGGATCTACAAAAGTCTCAAATAATAATCTAGTACAAGACATGGTTCACCCTCTGAAATCATACTTCAGGTGTGTGGCCTCCAGTGGGAGCTGGACTCAGCTTCTCTCTGATCTTACAGAGGATGCAACTACCACCACACAGAGGGACTGAACACTGAGCTATTTACATCCACACAAAGAGAGGTATTTATGACAAATATCGTTTTATAATATATATGGTTATATACATCGATTTATATTTTTCTCTTTGAGCATTTCCCATGGGATTGCATGGCTCTATGCAATGCTGCATATATACTGCTTTAACTCTGGTAAAATAAACATACAATCTACTACTTCACACCATTATTGAGTATGCAGCACCGGTGCATTAAGCACAGTCACACTGTTGTGCAAACATCCCCACCGCTGTGCCCAGAACTCCCTCATCTCCTGAACTGCCCTGCCCCCACTGCACACTGACATCCGCCTCCCCCAGCCTCATGTCTACCGCCTGCCCTGCAACTCCGAGGAGCCTCACTGAGGTGGACTCACAGGACCTGCCCTCCTGTGACTGGACACCTCCTGCACACAGTGTCCTAAGGTCCATGGTGTTGTAGCCTGTGTCAGAATCTCCCTTCTTTTCAGGGCTGTGTCATATTCTACCAACCATCTGGAGAGGTTTCTAACTCTCATCATTAGGCATGACTACTTCATTCTCTTTCCTGGTAAATGAGAACCCACTGTGAAAGTCACTGACATTACATTTCAGTAAAAGTACATTTCAGTAAAAGTCCTCTCAGAGGTTTTAAGAAGAGGCCAAGTCTGAAGGCTTCGCCCTCTGGAGTTTCTTGACAGATGAAGTGGTTTCCCACGTGATTATGTAGTGGGCGCAGAGGCACGAGGCTCCCCGGGCCCCTGAGCCTGTGGACAAGTCTGCACGGCCAGTCCCATCAGGGCCACGTTCAATGCCCCACCCCCCAGACAGTACACTCATGCACCTGAACTCAGGATTCCAACTCACTTAGCATCTGCACTGCTCCTCTGGGTCAGGGCAGCCCCACATCAGTGACATGGTGGCACAGGGCACTTGGACACGTGACAGCTGCAGGCAGGGCCAGTGCAGAAAACCCTCACGTGGCCCTCATCACCAGAAATGACACAGGTTAAAGAAAACACAACTTGTGCTGCTTAATTTTAAAGCAGATTTGACACCGACAGCAAGCAAGCAACTGAGATGCTTTGGTTCAAATGGCTCCTTGAAGAATCTGATTTTCTACTGGAATTACCTATCAGAAATGTACATCCATGTTTCAAATTCAGTCTCTCTCTGCAGAGCGCCTCCAACCTGCTGACCCACAGCATGTGGACAGGGCCGGGGTCAGGGCCCAGATGCCAGGCCCTCTGCAATAGGGTGTCCCACACATGGCAGCCATGGTGCCTAGGACCACCCTCCTGCTTCACTGCCCTACCTTCACTTTCTTACAAAAGCGCAGGACAGAGTACGGGCAGAGTCTGTACTGAAATGAGGGTCTTAAATATACCTCTATGCAAATAAAGAAGGAATCACTTAAGTGTGAGTGAATTATCTTCAGAACAAAGATCGGATAAACATAAAGAGCTGTGCTACTTCTAAATGCTGTATCCACCAATTACGAATGTTTGTCAGGCCACTTTGGGCAAATGAACCAGCTGAGTTTCTGTGGGAGGCCCAGTAGCAGAATTCCCTTCACAATCCCACTGGAAATGGTTCTTCCTCATCCTTTGAGATTCCTCTGTCAGAGGGACAGGGTCCCTCTTGAGTGAAGCTGTGGCCGCTGGACCATAAGCTGAGTCAGCCTGGACCTGTGCCCAGGATCACCTGCCAGGGAATCAGAAATGACCAACCACTCAGGCTGGCATCTCCGCAGAGCACACAAGTGACTCCTTGTTTTCTCTCTATTGTTGTGAAGTTCCTTGAACTGCTAATAGAAAATACTAATTCCCAGAAGCCCTTTGGAAGAATTCATAGCTATTCATACAAGTCTAAAAAGCAAGAGCAGATCTAGTGAAATTTCAAGGCATAAAAGAGCTTTAGCAAGTCAGATGCCTGGAATGGGAGCAGTGCCGCGAACTCAGGTCTTTCTTTCACTTTTTGCCTTCCGACAATCTTACAAATGTCATAATAATAGTACTTTCTAAATGGACATTAGCCCCAGAGGAGATGACCCTGCAACGGTCCAATCCCAAAGGAAGTAGATATTGAAATGCATACCTCCCCACCTAGAAGGCTAATGTAGCCCAAAATAACTCACTAGAATTTATGATTTTTGCAGCACCCAAAGCAAGAGAGGAGAAAAGGGCCACCTCAGAGCCTGGGGCCAATCAGCATGTGGAGGCCAGCCAGGCTCCTGCGACCGCTAGCAAGCAGCCTGGCAGCATCCCAGACATTGTCCGTGCCTTGGCAGGAATCCGCAAGTCTGCCCTCAAGGCTTCAAGAGCCGCCCTTTGAGATGGAAGGTTAGTGCACAGCCATGTGGATGCAGAGGCCAGCAGGCATCCTGCAGGCATGTCTATCTCACATCTGATGTGACTCATTCCAACTGAGTCTCCAAACTTAAAGTCTGTTTTTGGAAGCACAGGGCTGTGGGTAAGAGCTTCCGTGATGTGAGCGCAGAGCTCTGGGTCTGCTCATTCTTGGGGCTGTGAACTGGGGGCGGGGGGAGGTGCCCCTGAAAGTTTCACACGGGGCCATCTGTTCACAGAGAACCAGAGCCCTGCTCCCTGAGGATGCTTTCTCAGGCCTCTCAGATCAGAAGGGTGAGCATGCACTGAGCAGGGCAGCGATGGGAAGTGAGCGGTTGGTCCCGCCCAGCTGCAGGGGGACCACCCAGAGGCCAGTGCTCAGGGCTGACGGCAGGTCTGCACATCATGAGGGTCTCCTGACTGAAGGACACTTTCTGGCCCGAGGCTGCTGGGCCTGTGTGACCAAAGCCCCTTGGGATGCGCGTGACCCTGACGCACTTTAAATTCTGCATTTCTGAGCCCAACCAGAACTACTAAAACCAAGCCTCCCAGGAAGAAGTGAGTGCAGGGCTTAGCAGTATTTTAATTATTTAACAAGGGTCCCAGGTGTTTCTTACGAATAGTTTGGGAGATAATCAGTCTCTGCAACAGCCGAGGAAAATCACCGTGATGCAGAGAGCAAACACCAGTCCAATTTTCAGTCAGATGCGTCTCCAGCATGTTTTCATGTTTGTGCTCTTGCAATTAGGAAAAAGCTTCAGGGAGATGGCATTTCTAAACAAACCAGTTTTTTAAAATGTTTACTTTAGGTCTTTTTTTCATTTAACAGCTAGACCTTGATTGCTGAAAAATAAACTTCTTTTTTTCAAGATACGCAAAGTTTCCTAAAATTGTAAGGTATTCTTGGTGTCAAATTCAGCTAGAGCACACTCCCCAGGGAAAGGCAGGCAAACATTTACTCAGCACACATGTCTTGGGCACCTCAGCCTCAAGATCCAAATTGAAAAATGAATTAACTCATTAATATGTGCAATTGCTTTATTCCTCTCCCATGTGGATTCTAGAGTCAAAGCATTTTTTTTCTAGCATTGAAGGAGGAAAAGGTCACATAAGCGTGAAGCCTCCTGAGGGCTTCCTTTCTCAGCTCAGGACTGCTCTGCCCCGAGCCGTGACAGAGAGGAACCACCCAGGCACCAGGGTCACTGCGGGCCTACCACGCGCCTACACTGTGCTACATGGTGCCGCTCTCGACTTCTGACCTTCACAAATGTCTTGAAAAGAGGCCACTTGTATCCCATTATTAAAGTGCAAGTAAGACTTCTGGAAGCAATAAGAAATAAGCCCCAAATAGTTCCTTGTTGGACATCCCCCATGCTGACAACAGGAACTGGACAGGCTCGCACAGGATCAGCAGCGGCTGCCGAGAGCCTGGCAGGCGCCCTGTAGCCTGAGGCGCCAGAGTGCAGCCCACGGGGTCTAGCAGGCAGGGGACAGG